TATATATATTTTATATTGTAGAAAATTCTAAATTTTTAATTTTTATCATTGAAAAATTGTAATTCTTTATACCAATTACAAATTGCATCAACATTTAATAATTAATTACCAATTACAAATTACATCAATATTTTTATAATTGATTACCAATTACAAATTACTTAAGTAATTGAATTACTGTAATTGAAAATTGCCCGACCTTGCTAATAATTCCCCTTCGTCATAGGCGCCCGCAGGGGAGGGGCAAGCTGGGGCATTTGCCCCCCGGCTTTTGCAAAATATTTTTTTTATATTGTATACGAGTATAATTAAAAAGGTTATTATTTTAAAACACCTAGTAAAATTATAATATTTATCCTCAATCCTAACATCCCCCCCCCCTTAAAAAAATTTCTGCGGGCGCCTAAGCCCTCCGTATAATCACGTCTTCTTCTTAGAATGTTTCTAATCTCGCCCTTCACAGTAGCTAAAAAATTGAATCAGTTGTTAAACTAGTTGAGAACCATTTATAAAAAATTACATTCCAAATTACTCCTACACCCAAATCCTTTAATCGCGAACCAGTACATTGTCACAACTCCCGGAAATCCAGGAGAAATACGTGAATTCGTTGTCTTTTGTATCATACGCGAGTAGGTATGTAAGATAAAATACTTAATATAGCGCTGATATTCTCAATAAAAAAAAATGCTGTTCCTTTTGAAGTCTAGAGGTTTTTTGAAGGTGGTATAACTCAATAACTATGCAAAGCTAACAGTTTTTTACTAAAAATGCAAAATCTCCCCCTCTTTAAGAAAATTCCTRATTACGCTACTGCTACTGGCCACTATATAACATATAGACGGTGATACCCGATTGAGCACGGTCGTTATCGGCCGACCTTTTAGACGACCCGATTGAGCACGATAAAAAAATAAATATTGTRTACAACGTTGTCAGATTTTCACTAGTACTTACGTATGTTGGTAGATATTACCAACAGGTAATTACTAACATATTAGTCGAAAACGATTTTGGTGTCGATCGATGGGTAGGTATACCCACGGAAGTTAAAAATAACTGGGATAGATAGGAAACCAGAATTTTATCTACAACGATTGCACTAAACTGTTATTRTATGTACTTATGCTGTAGATAAAACTTGGTCACAGTCAGTCTGTTCTGTTGTCTCGTGCTCGTATTGTGGTAGTGTGCAAATTGTACGATGGAAAATAATGAAATAAAAATTATTTTATCCGAAAGAGGTTAAAAGTTGGCAAATGTTGGAGCTTTCAAGTACAGGTTTATTGGGTTTAGGAAAAATGGTGAATTGTTGAAATGATGTGTGTTTTTTTTTGTGTCTGTGTACAGCATAACTAGTCGAAATAATGCTTCAATTTCAAACTTTGTGGGTGGTTTCCGATGGGAAATTGAATATCCTTGGTGCATTATAGWGGTCATAAGTAAACATTTTCCAACAGTTTTCAAAAAAAGTGACAGAAAAACGGGAATTTTTACGCAAAACCAGTTTTCGACCAAATCGATTTTTTTATATGGTTGTAATCAAAAACTAATCACTGTAAATACTTGAAATTTTCACCAAATGTTTATGTTATTGTTATCTATATACAGTTTGTCTAATGTACAGCAGAGCGACATCCACTTACCCGCTTTTTTTTAATAATAATATTCTACGATACAAAATGGCAACGTCGCACCTATTTTCGTGCTCAATCGTGTAATTTTGGGATTTTTTTGGGTTCCTATTGTTTAATTCCAACCATGCTCGATCGGGTTGTGAAAAAGRTCAATCGTGCTCAGTCGGGTTCCAGCTCATATAGAATACYTTAGATACAGTTGTATTGTTTTGCACTAGATTTATTAATTAGTAAATAGGTACCTACAACACACTATGAGAGTTCTTATTTATTAGGTACCTWTCTATAATGTAATAAGTTTAAAAAATACTAATATACGATATTAATTATTTATATTTGCTGAACTATCATGAACATTAGWCGATAAAATATAGATATAAATAAGATTTCACAATGCCATGAGSGCATGAGGTGTTTTGTTAGTCGTTTTGTAATCSCGAAAATTAAACTAATAGTTAATAATTTTCATCGCCAYTACGACTGCAGTTAGGACTATTCCAGTTGTTTTATTTTTATAAATTGTGTTGTTTCCGTTTTTGACTATCGGTAATAGTTACGATGTATCACTAGATTGAGATCTAAATATATCATTTTTTCGGACCGATAATCTGACCTAATCGATAATTACGTCACAGTCTTAGTTGTCGTTTTCCATCRTCTTCGTTTTATACTAGTCTTTTAAATGTAAAATAAAATTAGTTTTTAAAATTAATATTATAAATTATTATATACAAGATGAACTCGTGCACTTCGTAGCC